ACTTAATTGTTTATAACTTTTGTAATTTTTATCGGCGCGTTTTCGGACCTTTCCTTAAACTTTCTAGGCAAAAATACGAATCGAATGATACCTTGGTCGTAATTTTTGGACAGGACTGAAAAATGTTACAAAAAAAAAGTACATGTGAACTAGACTATAGAGCCTCAGCTATAAAATGTCTTCCTATTGATTTTCTTCAAAGTAACAAATGATGCTTTACTCAAAATGTTCTATGCCACAAACTAATAGTCCGATAGCTGTGAAATTTGTAGAAGTGTCTTTTGAATGTTTGAGTCAACTAATGATATTATTAGCGTCATCTGTGTGTTGTCCTACACACTTTCAGCCCACCTAATATTTCAATAGTGTCCTGGTCGATTAAAATGGGAAACATTTCATTTCAGGTTGCACTATATCAGAAAGTGCTGAGTCAAATTGTCTTCAGTGTGATTGAAAATATTCTGTCCAGAATTATGAATACATAATTGGCAAGAACAAGAATGAAATATAAATGAAACGGAACAAGTACAAAAAATCCACCATCAGTACTAGCATTAGTGAATGTAATAAAAATAGTTGAATTTCAGAACAAGATAATCCATGTATCTTATCATTCTCAGGCAACTTTCTTTCAAATGAACATTGTTTCATGCGATAATAAGATTTTCCAATTCAGTTTTTACTCCGATTATTCATTATGTAACTGAAACATACATCACTCATAGGTACGCGACACAACATAATATTTGAAAGAGCATTGATAGAAATTTCACTTATAAGAAACATCTTTATTCTTGATGGTGCACTTCGAAGTTTCGGGACAAGTCTTACTCCTCATCTGCACAGACGGGGCACGATGACTGATCGTTTAAAAAATCACATAGTTACCTTATTTGATCCCCGACATAGGAATTCCATTTGAATTGCACAGGAAATACTTTTAGGAGCAATTTGTTTTTGGAAAAGCTTTTTCGCTTTACACTACTCCATCATTTACAAAATATATACTAAACATCCAAACAAAGGAACAGAGAAAATAACTAGAAGGATGTGTGAATCGGGCGCAGAAGTTTCTTTCGGATACAAACTAAAAGAAAAAACAGTTTAGAAGCAACTATTTTCACTTGGACATTGAATAACATAAAAGAAAAAAGTCGGTTCAGAAAAATGTTTTCCATGTGAACACGTTTTTCTGTCCAGTTTGTCTACTCTTGCTAACATATACTAACTATCTCAATGGGCCTACTCTGAAATGAATTTAAATATTTCCATATGGAAGCACCTATTTCTCAACATATAAAATAATCGAATGAAGAATTACTTCCAATTCAACAACATGCTCAATCTATCGTGTTGAACTCTTGTAATGGAAAACCCACTTGCCGGGAATTGTAGAATGAAAAATACACAGTAACCTGCTGGTTCGATTGTTTTATTAGACTAGATATGTCGATGAACTGAAATTATGGTGAATAGCGCTGACAGCAATCTAACATATTCTTTTCTATCCAACGAACTATACATTCAAGTCATAAAGAAAATTCACTCGATTCCAGAAACTAATTCAAAAATTACAGAATCTTAACTCATTTGGGTCAAGCTAGTGTGAAGTTCTCACAGAATGAATTTGTTAGAGTGTTAGCATATCTTATGAAAGCGATAATAACTTAAGCATGCAGATTACAAACAACAAATATGGAAGTTTGGTGTCAACAAGATCAGAGGTTTATCAAGCCAAGCCTTGGCGTGGCTCTCACAAACTAAAATAGTCCGACAGCTGTGAAATTTGTACACGTATCTTTCAAAGGTTAGGGTTAACTAAAAATCATATGGATTCAATACATCTGTGTGTTAGCCTTAGAAGTTTTCAGTCCATCTACTATTAATTGTCGTGTGTATCATATCCGAATTTTACACAGGTCAAACTTAAATATTATTTGAGGCACACATGAAAGAGCATCAGAAAAGTTTCCAAAACAGGAAAACAAACTCAATGTGTGCTACTTGCCCAATCTTTAATTCAAAATAATTGTTTATAGAAGGAATGCTAAATTTGTTGTTATTAGTAATCATAATTACTCCTGTCCTGGAATAACTACTACGCATAATGATAATTAATTTATTTACACGTATTTACTAAGATCCAATGAATTATATCCGTTTCCTGCAGGTATGCGAATCTGATCTACGAAACATAGCTAAAAAGTAAAAATCAGTTTTATCAAAATAAAGAAGTTCATCGTCATATATGATATCAGGAAAAATTTTATAGGCGGATAACAAAAAACCACCTCTCTATACACACAAAACTTTTAAAAATACTGCTTTCATCTTTCCAAATGTAATGATGAAAGCAGCAACTCAACGAACACACTAAAAGGAAAGTAGAAACTTTCCTTTTAGTGTGTAGATATATCCTTCCACGAAGAGCACACAGGGTGGTCCATTATAATACCGAGACAATAATAACAAATCATCCATCGTTTCAGATCATGACTGTGGTACGAAAAAGTATATACAGAGTGACTCACAAATAACGGAAAAGTCCCTGGAAGCTTGAAGAACATATTTTCTGGGTTATAATGTTAGTTATTGTGAATTCTGAGAGGCCTTTTATTGAGGTGTCTTTGAAAAACCCAATTTCATATATACTGAATGAGTCCTATGGATATGTTTCAAGAATTTGGTTGTCTTCTCTCAAGATATTTTTCTATTCAACTCGAGTGATCCCCTCACAGAGTATTCACAGTTAATGGATCTGTTTTTCGATGGAGTACCCCATATATCCGAACTTCATGATGAAATTATCTTAATTTTCATTCCAATTATATAAGCTTTTCTTTAACCAGAAATTGAAAGTTCTCGAATCAATAAGAATTTAAGTTGAGTAAAATCTGTGTTGCTTCAACAAAGGTAGGCATTTGTTGGAGCAACGCAATCTACATGTTAGCTGCCAACAAATTTCAGTAAACACTGGCTAAGGGGGTGTAAAGGGGTCTATCATTCCTATCACAGAAAAATCCAACGATTTCCATCATTACAGGTACATGATTCATTCCATTGTTAGTCGAAACCTAGACAGCAATAATGGTTTCTCAAAAGTTGAACCTTGTGCGAGCTAAGGACTAACGAGGTCTTACCTTTCCACGTGTGATTCCTAACACGGGTTGTTGGTTCATAGATGAATAAAACACACCTTCCGGTTCTGGTGCAGGTGTTTTCAGTCGCAGACCCAAGACAGAGAAATCAACCTGCATAGGAACCTATGCAACTGTATTTCAAACGGAAATTTACGCTATTGGATTGTGTGCGGAGAGATTGGAAGAATGCAACCTCCAGAACAATTTGAGGAAATAGGAAGAGAGACCTTGGAAGAGGATCATGGACCAATCTTTGCCAAGATTGAAAGCACGTGCTTGTAGATTCGACAAGACATGGAGAATACCCATAACAGGAAGTGGTTAAAGTTGGTGAAGAAACAATGCCCAAATGCAGAACGAGAACAGGACAACTATGAAGCCGCCAACGTCATCAACATGAGTTCCCGCCCGCTCACGGACATATAGGAATCTTTGTTGGGGAAAGGTCTAAACTTCGCCATTGCAACAACATCTGTGCCCACTTTGAAAATAATAACTGCAGTAGAATCCATCAATTCCCTTATTGAACAGATCGAGGCAGGAGAATTCAGATGAAAAATCAGAGAACAGCTGGATCACGAACCAGTTCCAACTTCTAACATCTGCAATGAAGAACGAAGAGCCCTGAACGGGCTACGTAGAGACAACACCATCAAGATCTTACCTGCAGAAATTTTTAATTCTTTTTTTTAAGTTGTTTCAGGGATTTCAAATCATCATTTTACATATTAGACAATGGAAGTCCGAACTAGTGAAATTCATCATGAAACATTGTCAATCACCTTCAAACAAACATTATATGAATTCAAAACGAATTTGCTATCTCTCTGATCATTCACGGAATAAAAGTATTAAATATATCAAGACTAAAAGTAAACTAACCTTGAAGCAAACCATGAGAGAGAACGGCATAGTCAAAACGACGACTATCCATGACAAAATCACAAGAATTTTGCCACATGTCTTGGACTCTTCAACTACGTGCTCTGCTGAAAATAAAATAATATATTGAGTTCCGAAAAAGACCTTGTGAAATTGTGGATTTTTGTATAAATCTCAACAGATGATATTCCAAGATTAGTACTTGGTGAACATCTGAAAGTACAAAACACCATTTAGGAGAACATTTACGAAACGTTACAAGCCATACTTATTTTCAATTATACATTTACTTTTTATCCCGATGAGGACTTCTTTCTCGAGCTTTCGACTTTTTCCATGAGACTTCGACATAATTTTCAACTTTTTCAGTTTTTCTCAAAATCTCTAAAAAAACTAGAGATCTGGTAAAAAAACTGGATATCTCAAGCAAAAAAGCTAGATAAATAAAAAATAAAAAATAGAGTGTGCTCCTCAAAATACTTTTTTGATAAAGGTATTTCAAAGAATATACTGAAAAAATATGTGAATATTACTGATATTTCATCCCAATACCAAACCGTTATTTTAAGACGTTGACACGTGTTTCGATCACCAAATGATCATCTTCAAGTGGAAGATTAAAGAATTAAAAAAGATTTTATAGATGAATCATCGATAAACTTCTCTATCACATTTTTTCCAGAGTTTTTTTTAAGGACAAAACACAAGCACTACAAGAAAATCCTTAAGGCGCTCTCAGAGCGGTGCCTGTGCGAAAGTAGCGATTCACATTGGATTCGAATTGCTGGAGATTAACTCCATTTAGAAAAACGCTCTCAGGAAGTTCATTCCACATAAAAACAGTTCTCCAGATAAAAGAGTTCTTAAACAGTGAAGTTCGAGGTGTACTGAGTTGAACCCCAAAACGATGGGCAGCCACACTGTGTCGCGTATTTCTAATATGTACCGCTCTTGGCGGAATCAAATGTGCCAAGTCAATTGAACACCTCTCGTGAAAGTATTTATAGAAGAGGGAAAAATCTTCAACCTTTTTTCGATGTTCCAGGCTATCAAGGTTGCACGTGATATTCTCGTCTCCAATCAGGCGGATGGCTCTTTCTGGATGGAATCCAGCAACTTCAGGGTATGTTTGGGGGCAGAGCTCCATACATGAAAACAATAC